TGCGCTACCTTCCCATCCGGCCAAGACAAAAGTAAAACACATGTCCCAATCACAAACCGCCATGACATTTTGTGACACTGTTCCTTTCCTAGAGATAAATTTAGTTTGATCTGTTGCACTGACAACGCAGGAAACATGTGTGCCATCAATTGCTCCAATAGCATGTTTAAAAAAAGGCCAGTATTTACCAAACCGAATTTTTGTATGAACATGCCGGAATGTTGGATCTTTTGGTTTGATATTAGACATGGCAAGTCTACAGCATGCCATTAGGACATTATGAAAATGTCTGCTAATTGTCTCCCCTGAATGTTGAAATCTTTCTTGCTGCATTCTGCTACTAAGTGCATGCCCAACGGTATGTAAAAACATTGCAACTGATTCATGTATCCCTATATTTTTAGTTTCTTTTAGACCATGTTGTTGCAATTGTTCCACCAGACTTAAGAACACATCCCGTTCCATCCTAAACATGTTATAACAACGACTGGAGTTGCCATCTAAAACATCCCTTACCCATATGCAGCCTGTATAAGCACTTGTATGCGAGGCTCCTTACACAAGTTCAAAGTAGCGTATGCACCAACCAATGCTGCAACTTTGTTAACTCTTTTTTTCCGTCCCTTAGCATGCTCTTCCACATGTTTAATTTCATCATCCATATTCGTTTTATCCTGTGCACATACACATAAAGTTTAGAATTCCTACGTAGAAATTACGAAACATTTATAAAAGTTACAGAGTTGTCTGATTCATATAACAATCCACTGGTCACATAAAACATACACATATGGAACTGTCTAATATAATAAACAAGTCATAAATCCCTAGTAAAATGCTCTAAAATGAGTAGAAGCTGTTCCTTCTGATCCTTCAGAGCTGCATACATTTCTCGTGCATCCTGCCGTTCCATAAGGAGTTGTGTGCACCGTCTAAAGAAATCAGGATCACTGACAACTTCAGGAACTGTTTTCAGGTGAGACAGGACTCCCCTAATTGAAACCTCATAAGCACGCGCTTCTTCTTCCAACCTTCTAGCTTCTGCTCGTGAAATGACCTCATTTCCACGCTCGGCCTCAGAAGTATTTGTTTCAGCAATCTTGCTAATTGCATCCGCTATTTTCATAGAGGGAGATGTGCGTTTCTTCTTGACTTCACTCTTCCTTCTGACCCCCAGTGAGCTACTAGGTCGACTCCTACCTCTGCTTGTACCCCCACCACTGGTATCCTGCCTCAATTCAGTGTTGCCTCCACTACCTCCACTATTATCATTGAAGTTCACTGTGTTAAATTCCCCACTTATACCAGTTGGTGCACCTAAAATTTCATCACTATCTCCGGACCCTTCTTCCAAATCTTCATTCGGTGTTCCTTCACTTGGAAGTGTCATGGAAGAAGGTGCCCATGCTTGTGGTCCAGTTGCAGCCACACTTCCAAATAGTTGCGTCAATTCATCCCTAAATTGAAGTCCTCTTTCTCTGAATTTTTCGTAGTTTGGAACTTCCTGCATTAGATTAGACACCAATAATATCATAAAATATTCCAAAAACAGTAAATATACACAAAGCATTAACAAGTAGAGAAAATGTAAGATCAAAAGGTTCAATAATTACCCTTATTTTTCTCTCCCACCAATCATCAGTTGCACTGACAGTATTCCTTTCAGTATCCCATCCCAATCCTGTCTCACGAAGCAGCCTATCCCATGTCTGCCACTCCTTTCGTAGGGAATCATATTTATTCTTAAATTGACCTTTTTCATACACTCTTCCAGTTTTGGCAGTAAAGTTATCACCAAGAATATCCCAAGCTTTCTTTGTTAAGCTAGTACCTTTTCTTTCCCCTTGTTGCACAAGTTCAATGCAGAGGTCAATAAACACTTTTGTAGTTCGTAGGTCCCAGGAAGCTTTCACCGTATTCTTACGCATTATGCTATAGCACAATTATAACTCTTCAGTCATCCCAGGTTAATCAACTCAAAATCAATTGAAATAACAAAAATCATATTGTCTACTGTAATAGGTGAAAAAGTTGATCACATTTTAAATCTCAATTCCTTCCTACCAAACCAAGTGTGACAAAAATTAACAAACACAAAAAATTTCTAATTTTACATGGTTGGAAAAAATACACCCCCTCCTTTCTAAACTTCATTATTTGTTTTTACTTCAAAATACTAAAAATTTTAAAACGTCCAAAATAACATGTTAATTAAATAACATTATAAAGCACATTATTGTTTTTACAAAATAACATGTTGCACAAGCCTTTCATAATATTTTTTAAAAATTATATCCTTATCAGATTTGTCAACCGAAAATAAAAAAACTACCAACATAAACCTTTGACCAAAATACAAATCACTTCCTTCAATATATATACATGGATTTCAGTTGTGATTTCATTTTTCCTCACTCTCAAAAGTTGGCCATAAATTTATCAAAATCCTTAATACAACAATACAGAACAATACAATTCTTATCTCATCCCAAATCAGATCAACTCTTAACAAATAATGTTCATTATCACAAGTACTATCCACGGCAAAAAAAAAAAAAAACCAAAGTCTCGACTTCACAGCTTCTTCTCCGGGGGAAATCTGGACTACAGCAGGAAAAACAAATTGCATTGAATTTATATAACAATTGCCAGACTTTCTCATCCATATACGTCCCCTGCCTCCAGAACCAGACATTGATTACCATAATTTGTTCCCTCTTTGTTTCATAAAATCAGAACCAATTTACCAAACGAACATACCATTTATAATCCCCAGCACATGAAGCTCAATTAAAGAAATCCAAAAACACCATAAACCCCGAAACAATCCATGGCAAAAACGAACAAGATCTTCGGCAATAACCATTGATCAAAATCTGCCGAATGACGCACAGGAAGACCAAGGAATATCCAGACAACAATTATACATCGCTTGGATCCACTAGGCATACAAAGCTGAAATCGAAGGCCACGGTTGAAAAATAGAACCGAGAGGAAGCTTGCAATTGAAGAGGATATACAGCCAAATCATTCCAATTCAACATACCACAATCAATAAACTAATAGCCACGGTTGAAAAAAAATTCATATCACTTCCGGATGACAGACCGAAAATAGAGGAGGGACCGAATCAGAACCACCGAACCAGAATCATAAGCAAGAAGCTGATAGATCAATGAATGGAGGAAATACGAACAGAATTTTGGGCAATCACCAAAGAGAGCTCACCGGCCGAACTGAAGAACGAAGATTGGAGACAGAGGATGGATGGATCGGAGCTTCCTTTGGTTTTGGCGAGCCGAGAAACGCACGACCACCCCTGTTTTCGCGAGGCCAGGACGATCTCACCGGTGTCGAGTTTCAGAGCAGCGACGGCGAACACTCGAGCTGGCGATGAAGCACGGCCGAAGACGCGACCCGATGATGAAGCGGCGAAGAGACGAGCTGATGATAAGGGCCGAAGGGTCGAGCTTCGAGCTGAGTCCGATCGTTCGGCGAAGAGGAGGAGTGTCGGCCAGCGAAGAAGAGAGGGATCTGCGAAATTGCCTACCGGAGTCGTTGCTGAGGGTCGACCTTGAGCTGAGAGCAATGTTCGAGCTGTCGAGCTGAGGAGCTGGTCGAGCTGAGGAGCAAGCGCAGTGTGTCGAGCTGAGGAGCTGGTCGAGCTGAGGAGCTGGTCGGTGTGTCGAGCGGAGGAGCTGGTCGAGCTGAAGAGAAGAGTGTCGGCCAGCGAAGAGAAGAGAAGGATGATTCAAAGTGTCGGCCAGCGAAGAGGAGGTCTGGGGTGTTTTTGGAATCACCAGTAGGCGTGCCCGATTTTTTCCCACAAGTGACAATTTCCAGCTTCTGGTGAAACCATGGTTTCACCGGTGAAACCATGGTTTCACCTGAAACCATGGTTTACAATTTTTGGGGCCTGTTTGGGTAGCATTTTCCCCAAACCATGGTTTGGGCCCCCAAACCATGGTTTGGGGTGCTACCCAAACAGGCCCTAAATCTTTAAGACTCTAGCTTTTTTTTTTTTTTGGTTCTCTGTCTAACTCTCTACAACGTTAATTCAAACACCACTAAACACCTAATCAGTGGCATGGAATTTTTTTTCCCCGGTTTCAATACCGACCTGGTTACTTTTATTTTTCCTTGAGAAAACAAGAAATCACTCGTCAATTTCGCACAAAATACCCATGAAAAATAGATGAAATGATATATATATTTTGCATCGAGGAAAATGAAGCATCAACGTCCTATTTTAAACGATGGAGAAGTTATTTTCAAATTTCAACTGACCAAGGGAATGATTGCAATTTTCTCTTTTACCCAATGCGTATCGAGCTAATTGGAGGACTTACGAGTGATGAGCTACAACGCATGAAAATCTGGCTTTGAAACGATCGATTTTGGTTTCCCTCCCGTTTGTGGTGGTGGGGATCACAGAGTGGCCCTACTAAGCACAATGATAATTCGAAATTATCTTGCGTGAATGGTGGAAAATAAGCAGATGCATGTACTCTTTGATTTGCAGACGATGTACGATGCTTTTTGAAAGACTTTTATTACGTGCATGTTGGGGCGAGTGAAGAAATGGGTGTTATGACTTATGATTATTGTTTTTTGAGTTTCGAGCTGGAGAACATTCAGGCCCTTTTCAAATCGAAACTTAAGATGTGAAAGTAAAGAGTAGGCTTCAGAAGAAGAAATAGGTGCGTGGACTTCAGTGTCCCGTATAGCTCTGCTTTTAACCTAAAAGCTTTGATTCACAGCTTGTCATACACTGTCTTCGTCTTCTTATATTCATTGTTTAAGGTTATTATATAGTACCGTTAACAGTATTTTAATATTATTAAGCGTTGTTTTGAAATTTTAAAAAAGACGCGTAATATGAAATGATTTTTTAAAGGACACATCTAATCAGATAAGGGTAGTGAAAAAGGCCGGATTTCAACGTGTCACACACAGTAACCAGTAGCCTACACGAAGCTGTAATCAACGAGAAAAAAAGAGACATAAAATGGCGCTTCCATTTCAAAGTCAGGAATAGTGAGTAAGTACATTGAGATGAAGAGCAGCACAGACGGGCCGCTTTGTCTTACACAAAGGAAAGGAGACGACGAAAGCAATGAAAGCAGTCGCTAGTCGGTGAAATCAGTAGTGAAGACGAGGAATTAAGTAGGATCATAAATAATGGGAAACCCCTTCATTTGCCTTCCGGGTGCAACGGGAAAAGCTCCAGGGTTTTGTATTCCTCATCTCTACGTAATAATCTGCTTTCTTCTAATGGAAAGCACTCAAATGCCAGGCTCCTACACCTCTTCCTCAACGGGTTTTCCTGCTCTCCTTCTCCTACTTGGCCCTTTACCCTCAAAACAGAAATATATACGCAAACCCGTTAGTTTGGTATGAAAGAAAAAGGTACTAAAAGGAAAAACAAAAGAACGCATAATTGAGACTGATAACGTTGTACACCTATTACATACCGTTGTCCGTAAAGTTAAAGGAATGGCAGTGGTAGGTGGAGGAGTAGAAGAAGTGGTGCTAGTATTAGGGTTGCGTTTCTGCTTTTGTCTTTCACGGGCCTTGTGGTTTTGAAACCAGTAGAAGACATTCTTGCCTTCGATTTTGCCGTATTTGCCAAGCTGAGCAGTGATCTGTTCTATCTGCTCAGCATTTGGAGTTCGCATTCCACCTCTGTACAGCATCTCCAGTATCCCTATCTGTTCCTGCGTCGGATTCCACCTCGTTCCTCCTGGGTGCGCCTCCACCTGCGCGCATTTATCACCGCGTTAAATCAGCTAAACTAGTCAATAACCAGACTATGTATAGGGTTCCTAGCTCGTCTTTGAAACGATAATGATCAGTTTTTTGGAGGTAACATGTTAAGTGGTTATACCTGGGGCGGCGAATCTTTGTGAGGGTGAGGGTGAGGGTGAGGGGAAGGGAGTTTTCTGGGGCCACTTTCGGGTCTGATGAAAGAGGAAAGGGAATGAGAGTGAGTGTTGTTGTGGAGCTTGGGGGCAAGAGGGCGTAAGCGTTTGAAGCCCAGAGTGAGGGAAGGTTCGTGCTCAAACATGAGCCCACGTGCAAACTGATGCACCTCCATGCTTCCCATGGTGCACGACTGCATATATCATGCCCCTCCCCACTCCCACACTGATTATATAGGAATGAGATGGTGCCTTAACACCAAATTATGAGGCGAGGTTGACTCAGGAATTCCCTAATACCAAAAAGAGACATCTATATTGTAGGAAATAGGAGTGAGGGGGCGTGTCGTGTGCGTGTGTCACTGTGCTGGGTGTAATCCCGTCAAATCGGCTGCTTCTTTTTTCTTGCTTTCATGATAAGGTTTGCATGCTTTTCGGTGGCCCCTCTCTCTCACTCATAGCTTTTCAGCAATAAAGTGGAAAAAGAGGGAGGGAATGAGAATTCAGAAAAGATTATTCACCCCCCTGGTGAGAGTATGTTTTTAAATCGGATACGGGTTTTAGAGAAAGAGGAGTGTGAATGGCGTCTTTTGTATGTTGGGAGGGGATAGAGAATGTTGGAACACAAACTCTGCGCCATATCTGAAAACCATACTGCCCAAAATTTCCGCTATCCTTCGGGAACTGTACCTGCCTCCATTTTCCAAAATACTTTATACCCACTCATCTGTCACCTAATCAGCTAAGCTACCACCATGCTTTTCTTCACCCAACTCACAGCATAATATTGCAGTATTCATAAAGTTATCCACGTGAGATTCAATATACGAGAGTGTAATGCATGTATTATTGCATAATTTTTTTTTTTTGGGGGTTGGGGAAGGTACATGTTTTCATTCTGTTTGTGTTAATTCAGTCTTCTTTTCGATTTCACTGTATCACAGAAATTAATCCTATATGTGAATTGTTTCATTTACTGTCAGAAATCTATTTGTGCGTGAGTAGTATTATTATTCATCACCTAATCCGTAGAAGATGTGTGATTAGACCAGTGGGGTGTGTGCGCGTCTGAACCTGGGCATCATCAGCTGGATGATGGAAAGTCCAATTTAATAGCTGGAAGAGAGGTGATATTGTTAAAGAAAACAAAACGATAATCCAAAAGCATGGTGTGATGAAAAGAACGTGATTTCATGTGTGAATGGACGTCCATCTCGGATGACAATATCAAACCAGGGTTGTATATATGTACATGAAAGAATATAACGCACGCGTTTGCTAGCTAGCTAGCCTGGCTTGGACTGGCTTTGGTGTCTCCTCCAGAATCTCCTTTAATAAATTAAGTAATTAACTTCCTCAGCTTCGTCTCCATAAATTCCTACGATCTCGTCCTGCTCACCAGCTCATTCTGATTTTCCCATGCTTCCTGTAGCTACGCACATACTCAGAACTCCAGTGTTCTCATATATAGCTTGTCTACCTATTCGGTATTGGTGTTCTTCTATGTTAAAACTTAAATGCAAGACCGAGTTAACTAATGCATAAAGATTATATAAACGGGTGAAATTAATTATTTGTTATTAACATGTACTAAATGCGTGTCAGTGTCTGTAATATACCCTTTTTCTAATGTGAATATTAAGTTAGGGAGATAAAAGATGTTATTAAGGTAAACAAAACAAATCACTCAAGTGACGCACACATACATGTACACTCACTGTTTAAGGTAGTTAAGTGGATGGTAAAACTTGGGAAGTTAGCGGCGAAATGAAAGAGAAATAAAAAGGCGGGGGGCTTTATTTAACCTGGAATGTGATTGGGGCGATGTCACTATTATATATGTGGACGTCCAAAGAAAATCGTGGGTGGGATGACAATGATGTCCAAGTTGACAAAGTTGGATAATGAGGCCGAGAGTGGGGCCTTTGCTTCCATCAATTTGGCCTCTCATTTAATATTCTGAGATCTCCCGTATCAGATTGCGCCACTTTTACATGGCCTCCCTTCAATCACGACACCCCAACCCTTCTTCCTACCAGTCCACGACACTTGTCCTCCTTACGTGCCTCCACGTATAATATCAGCCTAGCTCTTATTACCTTTTTATAATTACTAGCACTTCATTAATTCATTCATAATTTGCGTTTGTGCTAGCGAACTTCTAGACAGCCCCTGTACTGCCGGCGCATTAACATTGTTCAACTACTCTCCCGTTATTCTTTTCTATTGTCAATTTATGTCTCCCCCACCCATCCCCTCCCTCTGTTGCACTCTTCCAGATCTCCCATTCTGTGGATGTATCGCTACTCTGTAATTGAAGTAGAATCAATCAATAAGTCTAGTGCGTCACACAAGTTTTCACACATACTGTATCTGATTGAGAACCGATCGTTCGAGGTTGTCACGAAAATCGCAAGTGCCGTAGAGAAGGAATGTCACGTAAAATATACTTGGATCAACAAATAAACAAAAAGCTGTCCCGCTTTCTTACAAGAAACTTAATGAAGAAATACTGAGTAGGATGGCTATGAATCCTATAGATGTGTGTGTGTAAGCCCGCTTTATCGCTGGTGATTGACGGGGAGCTGGCCTGTATGTTTAGAGGGAACAAGTTCAATGAGCTCTATCCGATCCTATAGATGTTTATCTCAACCAAAACAGCTAAAAATAACCGATGTTAGAGTCACGTATATTTGGAATAGCATTGAAAAGCACTTATAAGTATAATTTGAGATAAAACTTTTTTCACATACTTATTTCAAATTTTATAAATTATGTTTGAAAAATTATTTATAAGTTATTTTAAACGGTTCTAAAATGAGTTAGACCAATATTACCCCATCTACTAATTGAGACGTAGCCAGAGAGAGGACTTGATTATCGAAAACTTCAAGGGTTAGAATTTAAACTTCATTTTTTCAGGGGGCCTTAATGGACTAAAGTATAATTGCAATGATAATTAAGGATGTTTATTATTTCCCCTTATTCTTTTTATAAGATTCCAAAATTTGGAGTAGTTTGGTCTTTTTTATAGAATCCTATTTAGGGGTGTTTGAACATTAAATAAACTTTTACCAAATTTGTTCTTAATTAATTTTCTGTTATCTCTCGTAATCTTTTTCTCATATTACATCATTTTTCATTCTTTATCTTATTCCCGATATTTTTCTCTTATTTTTTTCTTTCTTAAATAAGAATGTATCTGGAAAAAATTTTTTTTTTATATTTTTATTTTTCATTAATTTTAAATTTTTTAAACCACGTAATTTAATTTAAATGATCTTATAAAAAAACAACTGAAGTGAGTAACTTTGAAAAGGGAAGTAAATATATTGTCGGTCAAAGATAAGGGGAAGGAGCATTGGGTCAGTGGACCCCGCGCAGTGGAAGAAGCGGTGGGAGTTCATCATTAGGGGAAGACAAGGCCATCATTTGCACGTGTCTATGGACCGTATCTTTCAATCCAGCTATCAATCCTCAATTATAATGCAAATATTCATCTCCTCCCACATGTTTATGGTGTACGTACGTACAGGTGTTCATTTATATTCATGTTTACACATATCTGACCGCTCTGGTTATGCAAATAATTAGTCTGGAGACATGCCACATGAAAACCAGTTAACAATAATTCAAGTTTTCGCACGTACGCAGTTAGAAAAGACACCAGTAGTAAAAGTTCACGATAGAATATTTCTAATGGACAGCGATACAAATCAAGAGAGGAATAATAAAAACTGTTATATTCCTCCGGTCCTAAATATAAGACCCTTATATTAGTATATATAAGAGTCTTATAATTAGGACCGGAGGAGTACCAAGCTTAATTTTTCTGCGGAGAAGAGTGATATTGTTCAGTCTATGAACTTTAGCGGCAAGTTTCTTAAGATTCGATCAAGTCTGCCCGGAAGTCTGTTTTAAAACCGCACTGCACTGTTAAATATAACTGTAAGTTCAAAACATATAAATATACACTCAAAACTCGAAAAAATGAGCTAGCTAGACAACCAATGTACGTACGTAGCTATTGTAAGCGTTGATAATTCGTTGAAGCTGAACCTAAACCCAAATCATTTGTCGGAAGGGGAGTCTCATAAAGAAATAGGAAGCGTCCCTGAGGGACAAAACATCAAATCGAAAGCGATCCCTAGGCTGAGAGAGAGGAGAGCAAATGTCGTGTTCAGCTGCTTTATTAAATGTGGTGGGTAAGTGAGTCTTGTGATTTCCAAATTCTATAGTCCTACTCGTTCGTAGCTAGTAGTTGTCATTTAGCACGGAAACCTTATGGCTGGGAAATCGATGGACAAGGATAGGTGATGCCAATCACAGTGGTCGCGACTAAAGCGAAATCATTGTTTTGGTGGGTAGATCGAAAATTACATGCTAGTATTACGCGTTTTAATTGATCTCATCACGTACATGTATGTAGGCTTCACTCATCATGACTGGAGGAGGTACGAAAGAATGTTGATTCCCTTTAGCTTTTATGGCCGAGAAAGAGGAGGGAAAGGAATTAAAAGGGGAATGGGGATGATGAGGGGAGTGAAATTGTGGTCATTTCATGTGACGCAAAGTGGGGGCATATGAGGAGGAAAGGGGATTCTGGGTTTTGGATGACAGTGCAGGCACAATTCATAAGTGAATTGTACAAACTTTTCTCTTTTTATTCCTTTCCTTCCTTCGCCTTTTCTACTTTTCTTCTCTCTTACCACCTCGTGCTGCTGGCAAAAACTCTCCATGAGTTAAAAATTTTGACAACCTCTTCACCTGTCCAAAGCATATGGCCTTTAATCATCACCTTTCCTTCCACTCAATGATTAAATCAGGGTCGCACCTTCTTAAAACTCGAGCCCCCACTCATTACTATTGTTTTTAACATAAATTTAAAATTTCCAATCGCTTCAAAGCTTAAACACCATTATTTCAGCCCGTGTAACCTATCTTCCATATGCTAACTGTCCAAACGAAGACCGTGCGGATTTAGACGTGTGTGTGTGTCCGCCGAGACCATGATGGAGTTTCCAAATAAAGCTGTCAAATAAAGAATAGAGAATGGGCCGAGCTGGACACGGAAGGAAAGACTTCAAATGCCTGAAAGGGTCCACCCGTGGTCTCTAAGGGCTAGTTCATAAGTAAGTGGGTTGGGCCGAAATCAGAGGGCGGCAACCCCGCATGGCTCTTCCGATCTTGCTTCGCAGTTTCTGAGCCACAGCATCAGAGCCATTGCTTTGATTTTGGTCTTAGTACGGGACCCTGGGCAAACGCGCGCACTTACCAATTAACGATATTGCAGTGAGAATTGAAATCACAAAAATACAAGAATTTAATCACATTTTGGGAGAACTTGTGCCTTTCTTGTAGCACAAGATAAACATATTTTAACTATCGCCTGTTTGATGCGGATTCAACTGGAGTTTGGTGACTAGGGCACTTCCAGTATTTGAGGCAATCCTATTTGAAATATTATCGGGCACTAAATATAGATACCTCTCCCAATAAGAATTCGAACATTAATTCGTCATGTTGTGAAAGACTAGTCGCTTTTGCTAGATCCTTCACCATTTTAATTTAATGCACCATGTCCATGGTGATCCTGGAATCTGCTTCTATGGGCCCATTCCTGCCAGGCCCCAGCCCCCTCCATTATACATGTCCTACAAAAGTACGAACACCTCCCCACCCACGGCCCCCAGAACAGACGCTATTTGAGTCGGGCTTTTTTTTTTTTTTGGTGACAAGAGTCGATTTTTTGTAAAGGAAGGCTTGAGGAGTTATTGGGATCGTTGGTGCTGAAAAGTAAGGCGCAGAAAATGAAGGTGCTAGGTAGGAAAGGAACAAGGGGTTGTTGTACGATGTGAGGGGAATGGTGTTACGGTGGAGTTTATGAAGTGGGCATTGATTCCGTGCTGGACAAGATATGCGGTGACAGTATTGGATGCTCCGCCCCTAAATAATTGAAGGCAGCTTACGGAAGCTACTGCCTCCATTCATGTGCAGCCCAATCAGGCCAAGCATCATCGTACGTGCGTAGACCCCACATCTATCCAAATATAATATATTAATTGTTAACAGTGCACCAGTACCTATCCTCTTTTTTGCTATTTTTCTTTTATTATCTTTTTTTAACTATTAGGATAATATTTTAACAGTTCAGATTTTAAAATTATTATTAAAATGTTGAATTGTAAAAATAAATAATAAATTACACACTATATTAAAATTTAATCCTAATGGTTTATAAATACACTAAATTTTTTTAAAAAAATTTATAAATGGTTTATAAAAAGATTGAAATCTAAACAATTGAAATATGTTAATCTAATGGTTAGGAAAAAAAAAAAAAAAAAAAAAAGGAGATACGAATGAAAGAGAAGAGATTCTGAACCGTTAGCGCATATATCGACAGGGCCGGCCACTTGATCATGAATTCATGATCATCATCAAAACCTGTCCCGTGCTAACTAATATACACCCCACCTCACCATTGTTTCACTAATCATGGCTTCCACTTACATGCAACTAGGCACGGTTCATTTCTTTTGTCCCGCGTTAAAACATATTTTAACTAATTCTTATTATAAGTCAAATAGCTGATTTATATATAACAAGATGCCAGCATACTTCGCTAGCTCTATACTCTAGTCACATTCTCTACTCATCTGTACATGTATGGATCGCATATATCGTTGCTTGTTCTGCATCCAAAAAAGGAGAGAACGATATAATTCATTCTGTTGTTTATCCCTGTCATTTGGAAATCCCATTCACCATTTATAAATAGCCTCTCTCCTTGCTATTTTTTGCGGTTTAATATGCAAGTACAAACTGAAGGCACTCCGGTATATATGTCATTGAGTTTTTTCTTCCTCTTTAAAGAGAATAAGTTATTGTTTTCCTTGTTCAGAAGATAGAATATAATACTCCTCCAGTCCTAATTATAAGACCCAATTGACTTATTTGAGGAGATTAAGGAAGTAAGTTAAGTTGGTTATTTATAATAAATAAGTGTTGTCATTCCTAAAATATCCTTACTAATTAAGTATATTGGCTAAAACTATCATTATTAGAAGGATTATCTTGAAAAAAAATGCATAAATATAAGAGACAAATGGATTGGGTCTTATAATTAGGACCAAATAAAAAGTCAAATTGGGTCTTATAATAAGGACCAGAGGAGTATATTGTATCGTTGAAGTCAAGGGAAAACTGAGAGCACATGCAAGAAAGGGAACTAACTTGGTGTATTATTAGTTAGAAGTTGGGCCTCAAACAAAGCGGCAAAAGATATTAAAAATAGGGGGGTAGTTTCTCTTTGGTGGTCAGCAGGAGATATGCGACAATGATTAGGGATTTAGGCAGGCGCTCGTTGAGATATATAGATAGAGCACACCGCCAAAATTGGAACGCATGCAGCGTCATATTTAGACATGTAACATCTTGGACAGATCATCCACGTGATGATTACCGTCAATCCCTTGACTCCCCATCATCCCTGTGCATCTTCCACCCACAAATCCAATCTATTACCTCTAATTCTAATAATAAGATCTCATTTATGAACTATAAACAAAGTTTTATAGTTAGAATATGAGGTAGTATGTAATCCTCTTTAATTCGCTTCTCCCCCCTGATCATTTTACCACTTCTTAGCACCCCGCACATATATGATCCCAATTCGGATTCACTATCGAATCCATCGCTAGACTGGGATTATTGTACCAGAAGAATGCACCAGGATTGGGTAAAAGGAAACTATTATATTGGACAGAGAATATACATGATTATTTCCTTTTATAGTTCTATTACCTTTTCTGCTGAAACTCGAACCATTATAAGACCTGACTAAAGTTCTTCCTGCGTAAGATATTGATCGTTCAGTGGAAATAGAAGTTCACATCTCATCGTTGTGATTGAGTTTCTAGTTGTTTGTGGGGTTTCGATAATTTTGATGATCGTGACAGCTGCTTTTCTGGGTGCTCATCCGCCTTATCTCCTTATCCACTCGTGTTACTATGTACCGGGCGAAACATCTCGGTATTAGCATTTGCAAATGTGAATCGCATTAGATTATTCAAGTATCAACGGAGTTGAGTTGATATAATAAAAAGTCTCACATTAGATAAAACTGAGCCTCACAAGTCACATATAATAAAGTGAAAGGAATATATGAATTTAAATTAAAATTTTGACTTAAAGATGCAACGTTGTTTTATTGCTATTCCTCAATTTGTTCTCCCCGTCTTCGAGCTTCAATATGGGATTGTTTTCTGTTAATGACTACGCCCCTCCGCATGGCTCACTTCATTTATTTAATTATTTGTTACCTTTGGCTCTTACCTACTAAATTCCATTGTCCATATATAATTAATATATCGTCACGAACATAACACGGGCAATTTATTTATATGCCTGTTAAAATAAAATAAAAAAGTCGCTTCGGTAATTAAACAAGTTGGCTCGATCACTTTGACCACTAACTGTTCTGGCTTACAGAACTCACCGACCTTGTTCAAGCTTATCAGAAAATTAAAACTACACGGCCTCCTCTCAGACATACAGACATATGTTTGATTCCCGTACCGGCGGGTATTCCTGCCGTCTAGATTTTGCTAACTATATCCCTTCTTTACAAATTAAGTGGAAGAAGCCGAAACGCCTAGAACTTAGATTCACCATAGGCGACATCACAAGATAATTATCAGAGAGGAGACAAAAAGTAAAAGATGTGAATATTAAGGGACCCGATGATTGAATCGGCAACATAAGTATATCTTAATCTAATTGTAATCCTCAACAAGATCTTCTGGTCTGGGGAACTCATTCAAGTCGGGCTTGTCGTCGGAAGGGTTTGGGATACGAGAATTTGGGTGATGAAGAGCGGCTTGGAGAGCGTCAACTCTGGCGCCGACTTCGGTGGCCCTTTTGCGAATGGAATCGGGGGACATGTGGCCCTGGACGACGAGGCGGTGGTCGTCGCCGTCGTCTTGGAATAACAATTCGGGGAAGTTGAGGCGAGCCGAAGGGCCTCTGAGATAGAAAACGGCGGTGTCGTAAGCGCGAGCGGCGGCCACCGGGGTGGTGTATGACCCCAACCATAGCCTCGACCTCTTGTTGGGTTCCCTAATCTCCGCCACCCACTTGCCCCACTTCCTCATCCTAATCCCTCTGTACGGTTTCTGTCTTGATTCATCTTGCTTGCGCTTCTCCGCCCTGCTTCTCATCTTCGATCGTTTTCCTTCTGCAATACTCTCTTTCCTCCGTCTCCGACGCACCCTACCCCCTCACTTATTGCGGTGACAACTAATTAAGCTATACTTCTGAGGTATAATATTGATACCCACTCGTCCATATGGACATATGGATTTTCTCTCTTGTATCTGTGTGTGTATATATAATAAGATAAAAAGAGCGGCGAAATGGAAGCAAAGACTTGGTGGTAATCTGTTTCCTCAGGGGCTCAAAGGACTTGCTCGTATACTGATTTTATATACGGCGCAGATATAAAGCAGGAAAAAGGGATAATCATGAAGATCAGAAGGAGGTGAATGACTTTCTGACCTGGCTGCTATCGTGTCGATGGGAGAGGGGGGCCACGTTGAGTGTTGTTTTAAAAATCCAAAGTGGCCGACACAGCCCATCAGAGCCATTTCCTTCTCTCTGTTCCGCACTCCACGTAGCATGTTGCGCCCCGTTATGACCGCCGACGTGGACGGGATACGCTTCTACCTATTCCGATGGCCTGTGGTTTTTATTTCTAGTTATTTGCGTTTCCGTCCTAATTCTTTTTTCAAATTCAAAAAGAACCGTGTTTTCGTACGTTATTTGAAGAAAGGACCCCCTGGTCGGAGTTGGATAAAAATGGATTGGTATGTGGTTACGATGCATAGAATACATCTGCGAGACGTGGTAGAGATGCACGGTGGCCTCAGATATGTTCTGCTTTTCACTAAACTAAAGCATTTTTGGGTCTCTTAGCGCAGTTTCCTCAAACACTGAGATTCGAACTGGTGCATATATAAATAGATAGAAACAGAAATGCAAAAAAGGAAAAAAAATGATATTGAGTGTTGTATGTTTCATGTTTGTTGTGATATGGAACCCATCAGCTTCATTTTGTGTGAGACTGATGCTTCGTTTCTTCAACCCACACTTTTTTCCCGGCTGCTGTTAGAACCCAGCTCATTTTTGTTCCAAGCAAGTTCTTTAGTTCACGTTACTCTTAAATTTTCTTCTTCTCCCATATGATTACCATGTAAAACAAGTTTCATATTGTCTCACAATATATTCACTTTGCCAAAGTTTGTTAATTTATGAAAGCATTTCTTTGGCTATCCACAGGAGAAATAGTATTAAATTAAACCACATAAGAGACTAAATAAAGTGCCATGTATATTACACACATGACATTACTTGTACGCCTTGTGCGTATTGCGTTGTCCGGTTGCTTGTGAAGAATTTTTAAATGCCGCAACTTGATGTTGCTGGGGTTCCTCAACGAGGATGGATTGAGGCTAATACGTGTGAATAAAATAAGGAAATATAGTTTAGAATGAAGCGGCGAGGATAATAAAATAATTACATGATTAATGAGAGGAGGGACAAGTGGATGAAATGAAGAGAGGTCGGTGGGAGGCGGATGGGAGGGATGGGTTTGGAACTCGAAGTGAGGGAATCACTTTCCGTCCACGCATTATGAAGACATTTTTATTCCTAGGTTCCGCCATACCCCTTTTCTTTCCCTTTTCAATGTCAATATTTAATTCACTTAAAATATTTCTATTTTAATTTTTTCAAAAAACTACTCCGTCTGTCTTTTTTATAAGCCACCATCCCCTCTTATCCCTATATAAATAATATTTGCAGGTTCCCTCAAATTTTTGTAGCAAATTTCTTATTTACCCCCATCAATTATTTATTTTAATATTCAATTTATTGTTTCATTTTCCAAACTATCATCTCTTACATTATATATTCTCTCTCTTTCATAATTCTATTTATTATAATAATTTTCTTATTCTATTTTTTATATCTTTCCTTCATAAATGAGGGTATTTGGAGAAAAAACTTTTAATTTATTGTCTTTAACTAATTTTCTGATCTGCGTATGGAATCCTTTGTTGCTTATAATAAGGAAGCGAGAGAGTACTTATCACGGCGTATAAATATTTCAATGTCATTTCTCATTTTAAAAAAATAAAATAACTTCAGTTAACATGCTGCGTATCTGTAAATTGAGTAATGATCTTTTACGTTTAGAAGGTTTTGATTGACAGATTTCTTTTTTATTTTTATAGTTTTGCAAGGCGGCTAGTATGTTGATGCATGATAAACGTTCGGCGTGGATTCTTTTTTGCAAGGTTGACTTTAATTTGGGTTTGTATGGGTGGACTTTTATTTATTTGTTGTGGATGTTGGGTTCATTGAGCTTAAGTCTAGGTCACTTGATTTTATTTTCTTTCCTATTTTTTTATCTACTTTATGTTGGCTGACATCTGCTTGGGTTTTGTTCAAATAATCTGCATTTTATCTCCTTTTTTTGCATTTGTTAATAACATTGCCTTTTAATTGGAAAAAAACAAAGTAACGATCATTAGATGAATGCACAGTGTATGGACGCAAGACCTTTTAATATTTTGAGGCAATCACAATCTTGCTTCGGGTCGGGGGTCACTTGGCGATAGAGGTTGCAACTGTTTTGATAGTGGGATCGTTAATCATAAGGAAGAGGAAAACAGAGAGGGTGATAAGGTGACGAGCAGAGGCGAACATTCTCTTTATTACAGTGCGAGGCAGCAGCAGGAGAAGGAGAGTGATGAAAGAAGGATGACGCAATAATGCTAGGAAATGGAGGGTATGGGTCCCACTAACTGCCAAACATGTTAAGTCGGCAGTCCAATAACATGAGAGCCGTTTTGACTTTAACCATGTCCCGTCCTCACAATTCTCACCACTTTGACCAATCATCTTTCAGTCTGCCTTGCTCGAC